AAAAAAAAAAAAAAAAGAGAGAGAGAGAAAGCAAATGGTTAAAGTGTTCGATTTTGATATAGCTGAAACAATGAACCCCAAATCCTTGGAATTTGGGAAGTTCCTTCAGAGCAAGTTAGCTGGTGGAAGTCCTAAAGTCATTTATGCATCAGAAAATCATGACTTAACCCATAGGCAAAAGTTAAGTGACAGAAATATTTGGTGACAAGGAAAGCAAGTTTTAATTTTTTTAATCTTGACTGAGTTGTACCATTCAAATCATTCTTGTCAGAAATATGCAAAGTATTTCTCATAAATATTTTAGTTACTAACTCATTCTTATGCACAGACCATTTTTAAATAAGCCATTGTTTTGCTGATCATTGACTGATATAGACAGGCTACAACTTAGTTGAATGAAGCAAGATATTTGTATTTTTAAAATTTTATTTTCTCATATGTGAATTACCAGTTTTATCTCTGAAGTTCTCTGACCATTCCTGCTCCCTTAATAATACATTTGCTGTGTTCACTGAGAAAGTATTCAAATTTTAATATTGGCTACAGTTACACTTTGTTAGACAAATCTCCATGGAGAAATAATCATGTAATCAGTGCTTTCTGGGGACCATGGTACATATCAACATTAGCTTGCTGCCATTTTTTAAAAATCAGAACAACTCACTTGCCCAGGTAGATCAATTGCCTTTGCATTTTGCATTATTTCTGATGCTATTTGGGCATTTAGGGGGTCAAAGAAGATGATTCCAAAATAGGTAGGAAAAAATCATTTTTCAGCATATTAAAATGCTAATACCAGCAGCTCATTTTCTACAGAACGAAAGATAGAAGACATTCCAAAGCCCAGAGAAGCCAGTAGTTTGAAAATCACATAGTCTGTGGTATTATCTGCATTGCTTTGGATACTGAGTGATGAGTGTATTTGCTTTAAATTTATAAATTATTGTCATTGAGTTCTACTGTTTAAAATTGTTGCTCTCTTGTAAGGAAGCTTGCATGGTACTTGTGTGCTAGTAACGATTGCTTTGGAGGTTAATCTGTATCTTGTTTTATATTTGCAAAAGTGTACGTAATATAAAACAACTGAAGTCAAAGTATATGCAAATACCCTTTATTTTTTCTTATTTTGGGGGGAGTGGACAGAGTTTCACTCTTGGTGCCCAGGCTGGAGTGCAGTGGTGCGATCTCGGCTCACTGCAACCTCCACCTCCTGGGTTCAAGAGATTCTCCTGTCTCAGCCTCCCAAGTAGCTGGGATTACAGGTCCATGCCACCATGTCCAGCAAATTTTTTGTATTTTTAGTACAGATGAGGTTTCACTATGTTGGCCAGGCTGGTCTTGAACTCCTGACCTCAGGTGATCTGCCCTCCTTGGCTTCCCAAAGGGTTGGGATTATCACGAGAATTGCTAAAACCTGGGAGGGAGGTTGCAGTTAGGTGAGATTACATCACTGCACTCCATCCAGCCTGGGTGACAGAGCGAGACTCTGTCTCAAAAATACATACATACATACATACATACATACATACATACATACATACAAATTAATCAGAAGAAATGGAAGTAGTAATGAGAAAATATATAAAGTTAATTTTAGAAACCAATATTTGTGCAGAGTGACTGAAGATGTTACAGATCATGCTTTGCAAAATGGAGGGACTCAAAAGCGATTTCTGAATTTAATTATTTATCATTTGAGTCCATCTTTTTCATATTTTGTATTGTTCCTATCTATTATGAAATCTCTGTTTTGGCACCAGTAGACACATTCAGACTGCCCTATTGTGCTTGAAAAATGTGACTAAAGAGTGGACATTCAAAATCGTGCCCTTTTCTTTGGTTGTCATGTGATTCATCTGTAGAAACCCCCTACAGCGCTGAGTCAGACATCATCAGAGTCGGTGTACTCAGAGGTCTAGAGGCCCTCCCAACGGGATGGTTTTTTGATTCTTGGGGGTTTTCTGGCTTCTCTTTAGAAGTCTGATACAGACCTAAGTTTTCCTTCAAGAAATCACATTGAGTGCTGATAGGACCTAGTCCAAGTTGAATGTGACCCCAGACTGGAATAGTGATAGATGTATAATTATCTAATATGTACTTCTGTTTCTTTCTTTATTTTTGAGACAGAGTCTTGCTCTGTTTCCCAGGCTGGAGTGCAGTAGCGCAATCTTAGCTCCCTCAACCTTCACCTCAAGTGATTCTCCCACCTCAGCCTCCTGAGTAGCTGGAATTACAGGTGCTCAGCACCATGCCTGGCTAAGTTTTGTATTTTTAATAGAGATGGGGTTTCACCATGTTGGTCAGGCTGGTCTTGAACTCTTGACCTTAGGTGATCCACCCACCTTCACCTCCCAAAGTGCCAGGATTACAGGCATGAGCCACTGTGCCTGGCCTAATTATCTGGTATGTATTTTTAAATATATCTTCAAAGATGAACCTTATACACCCTTCACAATGACAACTTTAGCTTCCTAAATTGTGGCATAGTGGATGAGTCGTAAGCAGATCAAGCCGGTGTCCTTTGGAGCAGAAGGCAATGTGGGGCATAGTAGGAGCCCAGTGTTTGAATCATGGGGCTAGATTTGAGTCTTGCCTCTGCCTAGCTGTGACATGAGAAAGTTAATAAACTTCCTAGAGCCTTAGGTTTGCCCACCCGTTAAATGCAAATGTTGAAGATAATGTCTCTGTCATGGAGTTCTAAGTAACAAATTAGATACCGTGTGTAAAGGTACTCTGTCAATCTAGAAAATTCTATACTTGTTTTTCTTGTTATTTTTATACTGTTCCTATTCTTTTTCCTAGAAATGGATAACATTCACACACAATACATTATATACCTTTATGAATGTGCTATTGAAACAGTCTGTGTTTTTAATGATGATTTGCCTCAACTAATAACCAGTCATTTTACTTTTAAAAATTGAGTTAAAGAACCCCAAAATGAAAAGATAAAGCTTTAACACATGTTAACAGCAAGGATTAGAATTAGCCTATACTGTCACAGCAGACATATTTAGTGCTCAGATTAGTCCCTGATGCATTCCATTAAGGAACTCCCACTGATTTAGGAGATATAAATATATGTGGTAATGCATATGGAAAAAATGGAAACTGCTGAGTATCAAAATTCACTGTTTGATTGGAAGTAGAGTGATAACTTCATTTTTCCTAGTAGTCTGGTTGCCATATTCTATAAAGTAGAACTCTTTACCTTTTTTTCTAAATACATTCTTGAAAAACAGCCTCTGTTCCGATTCCTCCATCAAATTATAGATGCGGAGGACAGTGCCCAACCCTTGAGGAGTTTATGCTATAACAGACACTTAAAGCAGATATGAAGAGAATTCTGCTATGGAGTAGTGATCCAGGGAAGGGCTAGAGGAGAGCATCACCTGGTTGCAGGCACCCAGGCCTACTTCCCTAAGCTTCTGTGACCATTTTGTAGCATTATTACAGCACCTACACATTACGCCTTCTGTTTTCACCCACGTGTGATTTGCCTCTCTAGATTATAAACTCCTTGAAGATGGAGAAGTCACTTTATTTCTTGGTCCCTCTCTATACGACACACCTTTCATCCAAGCCTCAACCAGTATTTGTGGTTCAAATAGAGTTTTGTACCTCACATTCTGATGTAGTCAAAAAAGTATCTTAAGATGTGTTTATGCTCTAACTTTCTTTTTCTTTCTTCTGTCTTTGCAGTTGACCTGCCTCTGTTTTTTCCTCGAGACCAGCCAATGCTCACATTTCAGTCTGTCTATCACTTTACCAACAGTGGACAGCTTTACTCCCAGGCCCAAAAAAATTATCCGTACAGCCCCAGATGGGATGGAAATGAAATGGCCAAAAGAGCAAAGTAAGTGAATCTGTTATTTCCTATAGATAAGAACATTTTGTTTATCTAGTCCAGGGGTTGGTAAGCTACTACCTGCAGGCTAGATCCTGCCTTGCACCTATTTTTGTAAATAAAGTTTTATAGAAACACAGCCACACCCATTTCTTTACTGCTTTAATGCTACAATGGCAGAGCCAGTTGTTGCAACAGAGACTGTATGGCCTAGAAAACCAAAAATATTTACTGTATGGCCCTTTGTAACTTCATCAGGAAGAAGCTGATCTATATCTGAAAGTGTTTCTTTTTTCTACTGTTTCTGTTGGTCTCTAAAATTAGCCGTGACTGCTTTTTTTTCATGGAATGTAGAATTTATCAGAAAACTACCTCTCTATTTAGAGTAGGGAAGAAATACTAAGTAGGAATTCAAGTTACGGGTAAAATGGCATAAATGATGAAAATGTTGGCAGCTACTTTTTATAGTTTTTTAAAAAATGGAAAATTGCAGGTGACAGTAAACAGAATTTCTGCTTAGTAGTCAGTACCTGGAGCCAGTAGCCACTCTTTCGTATGGAAATGAATCTCTGTGAATTCTACACCTCATTGCATCTCTGCAGTGTATACCACAGCCAGTCGCCTAGAGTAAGATCTGTGTATTTCTTGGTCAAATAAACAACTATGCAAATAAATACCTTAGGGCTATTAAAATAGATACGGAAGTAGGATTTCCTAGAGGTTGAAATTGGCTAAAGTTTGGAGTTTAGAGGTACAGCTATTGCTCATGAACCTCACAGTGTGGAAGGCTCTCACTTCAGTCATCCAGAATAGGTAAATATAGAAATATGCTGAGTGTTTTTTTTATATTTAAGACTTTGGTGTCTGGAACATCAGTCTTCATGAACCATGGCCTCCTAGATTAAGAAGCAGTGGATCAAAATCATAGTTTCCAAAAATAAATCATGGAGTGGCATGTGGTTATTACTTTCTCGCTTGGAACAGCCATATGCTTCACACCTGTGATCCCAGCTGAAGGATGTTCAGATCCAAAGGATCACACAAATATAGACTATCTATTAAGCATCCTCTTCATTTGCTCATCCAGTATTTATTAAGCATCTATCATGTTCCAAGCATTGTGCTCTATGCTAGGAGTATAATGATAAACCAATTGGAAATTGTCCCTGTCTTCATGGAATCTATCGCCCAGCAAGGGAGATAAAGCCTTTATCATAGGAAACTTCTGACAGTTTCAAAGTACTTACAAGCAAAGCCTGGACCTCCAGATCTGGAATGTTCTTGAATAGCCATGACTAATCAAGAACTTAATAGGACTTACTGTTCTTGCCTCCTCCTCCCAGAGAGACCCCATTCCCTTCTATGGGGGCTCCCAGCCTCACGTGTATTTTTCTGTAGTACTAGACCTTCACTTATAGCAGGCTTGAGACCTTTTTTTTTTTTTTTTTGAGACAGAGCCTTGCTCTGTCACCCACACTGGAATGCAGTGATGTAATCTCGGCTCACTGCAACCTCTGCCTCCTGGGTTCAATCAATTCTCCTGCCTCAGCGTCCTGAGTAGCTGGGACTACCGGTACGCACCACCATACCTGACTAATTTTTGTATTTTTAGTAGAGACAGGGTTTTGCCGTGTTACCCAGGCTGGTCTTGAACTCCTGACCTCAGATGCTCTACCTGCCTCAGCCCCCCAAAGTGCTAGGATTAGGCGTGAGCCACCGCACCCAGCCTGAGACTCTTAAATAATGAAAGGGTGTCTCCTAGAAACCAAGACTGCCTCAGATTCATATGCAGAATCCTGAGTTGTTATCTGAAACTAATGTGCCTTCTTCTTTCCCTTTATTTTCTCTTTTTATCCATGACACCCAAGTCTGAAATCCCATTAAGGACAAAAACAAGCATATGCAAATATAACCGGTAACAATGATTAAGACTTAGATACCTTGAAATGCAGTGGAAAAAAGGAGTTATAAAGGATGTTTTATGCTTAAAGTATTGATATTGTTTAATTTTCTGGGCTTTCCCTGTGTATACATAGGACCTACCCTTTGAAGATGGGCGTTATTTGTGGTGTGTGCTGTGGAGTCTGAACCAGACATGTCTTTGTGGTTTCCATGGCAAAGCTATCTTGGTGTGTGTGTACGTGTGTGTGTGTGTTTTTCTTCAGTAGACATTTTAGCATGTATGAATTGAGTCTTTAAGAAGTTGCAGACCACAAGCCTGTGATTTCAGTGTAGGAATATCATAAGTGAAGGCTGTTTATCTTAACAGATTGGTTCAGAGTTTCAAGAGACATTTGCTTTATGTTAACACCAGTCTAAAGAAAACATCTGAAGTAATGTTTAAAAAATCTGCTTTCTACTGTAGTGAAGATGGATCCATTTTAAATGTAATAAAGGAGAAAGCCAGCAGCTCATGCTAGCAAGAAGAAATAAAGTTTCCATTCTTCAACTGAACTAGTAACTTCCCTAGGCTGTGTCAGAAAGCCAGATAAACACAGTGAAAGAAGTGTCCTGCAGTGCAGGCTTGAGACTGGTGGAGAAGCTTGAAGAAAAAGGATGGAAAGAGAGGAAGGTCAACTGTAGCATTCCTTCCACACCCTGTTTCTTTGTCCTGTGAAAATACTGTATGTACACAGTGCGTAAAAGGCTGCAATTCACTTGGGGAGCTCTGCCCATGACATAAACACGCTCATGGTTTATGACCAGCAGTAGAGCCTTTTGAGTGGAATCAGCTGTTTATTCCCTCCTGTAGAGCAAAATTCTAAACAGTGTAACTTCAGAAAGGACACTTTCTGGCACTGACCGGGCTGTTCCTACCACATGTGCTTCTTTCTTTCTCGTGGCTGTCCAGCAAATTCTGTCCCTCACAAGTGAAATACCACTTACAGGGTGAGCACAGGCTTTGGGGTCATGCATGCCCCAGTTGCTATTGCAGAGTCTAATCCTGCAAGCTCTGTGGTCTTGGGCAGAGCTCTTAACCTCTCTGAATCTCATTCCTAAAACAGGACTGTACTCCTCCCTATTGGGTGGACTTGCTGTGAAAGGCCAGCAAGTTAACATGTGGAAGGCCGTGGGTTTTAGCTTCTGCTGTGTACCTCAGTGCCTTTGCTCGTGCCTTTCCTACCACCCTCTTTCTGCCCCCTCAAATCGACACATCCTTCAGCCTTCTCCCATGTGGGTTTTCCCATCCGCCCTACTTTGCCGGCAGCTCTTTCCCCTCTTCCCAGTCTCCATTGACTCTCATCACATAGGGCTTTGGAATCTCTTTTGTATTTTCTTTACGTTTTTCACATCTTCATATATATTTTGTTTCCTTAACCAAACCATGAGTTCTTTGAAGGCAATGGCTTTGCATATATATCTTTTTTTAAAATTGCAGTGTAATTTACATACAATGGAGTGAACCGGTTTTAAGTATATCTTTTGAAAGTTTTGAGAAAGTTACCTTTATACCCCCTTTCCAAATAGTTTCACTCTCAAGGCTACTCTTCTGACTTCTATCCCCATGTCTTAGTTTTTCCTTTTAAATACTTCTAAATGGGATAATACAGATCATATACTCTTTTGTGTCTGACACAATGAAAATTATGTTCATTTCATTCAACATAATTAAGATGTATCTGTTATGGTGGCCCGGTGCGCTGGCTCACACCTGTAATCCTAGCACTTTGGGAGGCCAGGGCAGGCGGATTACCTGTGGTCGGGAGTTCAAGAACAGTCTGGCCAACATGACGAAACCCCGTCTCTACTAAAAATACAAAAATTAGCCAGGCATGGTGGCACACACCTATAATCCCAGCTACTCTGGAGGCTGAGGCAGGAGAATCGCTTGAACCCAGGAGGTGGAGGTGCAGTGAGCCGACATTGTGCCACTGCACTCCAGCCTGGGTGACAAAATGAGTCAGCATCTCAAAAAAAAAAGATCTATCTGTTATGGCATTTCTTTCTTACTGCTGAATAATATTCCATTATATGAATATAGCATAATGTATTAATCTATTCACCTGTGTGTAGATATTTGTGTTGCTTCCAGGTTGAGGATTTTATTAATAATGCTGCTGTAATTATAGACATGTTTTCCTTTCTTCTGGTAAATACCTAGGAGTGGGAGTATATATGTGATTAACTTTATAAGAAAGTCACAAGCTTTTTCAAAGTTGTATGTGTTTACCATTTCATCAGTAGTATGCCAGGGTTCCAGTTGCTTCACATCCTCGCCAACACTTCCTATTGTCAGTCTTTTTAAATTTAACCATTCTAGAGAGGATAAAGTAAGGTCTCATGTTTTAAGTGTACATTTCCTGGTGATAAATGATGTTGAGCATCTTGGCATGTGCTAATTGGTTTGTCTTCTTTCATGAAATGGCCGTTCAAATCTTGGCTAGTTTTAATTTGGTTGTTAGTCTTTTATTAATGAGTTTTGTATATGAGTTTCTTTATATATTTGTCAGATATATTTATTATGAGTATTGTCTCTCAGTCTATGGCTTGCCATTTCATTTTCTTTTTCCTTTTTTTTTGAGATGGAGTTTTTGCTCTTGTTGCCCAGGCTGGGAGTGGCACTGGTGTGATCTCAGCTCACTGCAACCTCCACCTCCCGGGTTCAAGCAATTCTCCTGCCTCAGTCTCCCGAGTAGCTGGGACTACAGGCACCTGCTACCATGCCTGGCTAATTTTCTTTTCTTTTTTTTTTCTTTTCTTGGTAGATACGGGATTTCACTGTTGGCCAGACTGGTCTCAAATTCCTGACCTCATGATGCGCCTGCCTCGGCCTCCCAAAGTGCTGGGATTACAGGCATGAACCAACATGTCCAGCCTCTTTTTCCTTTTTTTAAATAGAGACAAGGTTATGCTATGTTGCCCAGGCTGGTCTTGAGCCCCTGGGCTCAATCCTCCCACCTCAGCCTCCCAAAGTCTTGGGATTACAGGTGTGAGCTGCTGTTCCTGGCCCATTTCATTTTCTTAAGCATGTCCTTTGATGAGCAGAAAATCTTAATTTTTTTAATGAA